GCAACGGTTTAAACTTATTTAAAATTGTCTAGAAAGTTGCTGCAAGTTTAGTCTCTAGGCTGACTAGACTGAAGCGCTCGTACTACCTTAAAGGTGGGTGCTGCTACACCACACCACTGTGAGGGTGCGGACTTGCTTTTGCCTAGACCGCCTTCTGGAAGTGTCTCCTTCGGAATTCCATCGTCTTCGCAACGCGCGCCGAGTGCCTCTGCTGCACTCGCTGATTGACAACGCCCTTCCGCATGGGTGCTTTACGGTATCTTCTGCTCAAACATCTGTAAACGCGTTTCAAAAGCAGCGCAGGTCTGCGCAGAGCTTCCATGGAAGCTCTGTCCACTGATCAGGCACGGCCTGGAGGGGCTCCGGGGGCGTTTATGTGTTAATGTCAGATCAAACACACGTGTGCAAAGCGGCGCTAAAACGCGGGCTGAGGGATCATCGGGGGGGGGGGGAATAAACGTGGGGAAAGTAGTAAAAATGCGTCGTAACTCGTCGACAATGTTGTTTGCGTAGCCCTCTGGCTCCACTCGACGTGTGTGACACGCGACTCCCCGGCCTGGAAGGACGCACAACGCCCTGCCGTCGGACTTTGCCGGCGGGAGTTACGGAGCCGTTTATTCGAAAGCTGGAAAGAGCAGGAGGAAAAGTCAGGGGTTTGGGAGAGAGAGAGGTTGGGGGGGGGGGGGGGGGCAATGACTCGCGAGCAGCAGCAGCAGCACCGTGGCGGCGCCCCTCATTTGTCTGCGGCCGCTATGCGCCGTTATGAGACCCTCTGTCACATCAGCTGCTCCACCACGGTGTGCTCCACCTACGTGGTGTGTGTGTGTCGTGTGTGTGTGTGGGGGGGGGGGGACGAAAGCGGGGCCTTTGCTACTTACAGGCTTTCGTGGCTTGTTTGTTTTCAGTTTTAGAAGACTTTAAGTTGTGAGGATTCGAATGTTTTCGCTGTTTGCCTGAAAAGTTTCTATTTAAGGTAGTACGAGCGTGGTGAAATTAAATGTGTCTGAAAAGGGAAACAAAAACCGGGGGTACTTTGAAAAATTCCACACCGATTGGTTACAA